TGTATTCCTGCATTTGGTGAAAAAGTGCTAGGGTACACTCTGAATGAATATTTAATACCTCTGAAAGAAGTTTCATTTGACTGGATATATTTTTTTAAACTCAGGGATATGCAATCTTTTTTGGGATCAAGGACTAGATTTAGCCTCAATGTTTATGCAAAAAAAAAAGAGCAAACAAGAAGCAGCATTGGAACAGGAGGAGAGAGAGGATTAAATGAAGGATTAAAATTAAATTTAATTTTAAAGAGTCCCTTTCTCTACTTAAAAGGGGGTGCATAATATTGAAGCTGGCTTTACCAGAGATTGGACTCCAAATAGCTAGATCTGGAACAACATTTAATCTTAATTTAATTATTTTGAATATTGTTAACTACATTGCAGTTAATAAATAAATTAAATGAAGTCAATAAAGTCATATCTTTTGTTCCTTGAAATACAACAATTCAGCAGCAGCTTTTAGAGGAACTCTGGGAATATTGCAGATTATATGAGTTAAACAGGGAAAGCGTTCTTTTTCAATCCCTCTTTTTTTTCTTCCATGAGCTAAATTACATTATATAGCATTTTCAGATTTTGTAATAGAAGTCTGCCTTTAGATATCTGCTTTTTATAATAGCCGCATGCTTACATTCAGCGTTGCATAAATAAGTATTTGGTATTGTTTTAAAATGAACTTCTTAATTTGCAGTAACTTGAAAGGCATACACAATATCTGTATGACGTGTTTCCCTTTGATTTTGTTTGTTTGCTTGTTGCAGATACACTATATGTTTAATTATAGTTTGTGAAATAATGATTTAATTAATAACACAAGTTAAATTAGTACTGTTAGCAATTATAATATTTCCAGTTTCTTAAGAATTTAACTAGGGAAAAGTACCAAAATATGTTAGAATAGTGTCTGGTTCACTGAACTCAAAGAACATCTTCAAGTTCTAGTGACTACTTATATATAGTGAAATCAGTTGTGATGTTGACCAGATCCTAAAATAGAAAAACAAACCAGACATAAAACAGTAGAGTTTCCTTTATGTATTTATGCATATGAAACATCAATACTTCAATTCTGCTTGTTCTTTCTTCAGAAGTTAAACTTAGCATAGTTCTCTTAATGTGTTCTCAAACAAAAATCCATCTGAGTTGAATCAGGTCTACTCTGAAGTATGTTAGCTTAGAATTGCAACCTAAATGTTCTAATTAGCTCACACATTTTTAGGAATGCTTTTTTTGAAATTAATAGAATATATTCCAAGTTAATATGAACAGATTTTCAGTCTGCTCAGCTATCACAGAACTTAGTTATCATAAAGGTCACTTTTATAATTGCTTGCCAGAACAGATAGGCAGGTCATAAATCAATTCATATATTCAAGTGGGAATAAAGCTTGTGAATTATTCCAAGGAGAAAAATAGTGATCAGGAAATCAGAAAAATGTATCAAGACAAACGGTGATAATGATAATGATTTTCACATGCATATAATCACTGTTACATAGGAAAAAGAATGACACCTCCCCTCCCCCCGCAACAGCTTCTCATGCTATGTGAGATGCTTCTCTGGAGGATCCCTGAATTTCTTTGAGATAAGGAAAAATATGTTCCTCTGTGCATATTCATTTGTCAGATTTCTATTTCCCAACTTAAGTGTAGAGTTGTACCTGAATCATTGCGGTCCTAGTTCAGCAGCTCAATCACACTATATCACAAAGGTTCACTTCTAGTGCTTTGGATCTAGCATTTCACTGAACACTTTAGTGATGAAAAAAACAAGATAACTACACCTCAGCAGTCACATTTGAACGAGAAAAAAAATGAATTGCTAAACTTAGAAAAGTAAGCTTTGCTTTCAAGTGCCTTAGCAACACATATAATATATGAAAGCATATTTTTATTATTTAATTTTCATGTAGTATCATCATATTTAGCTCCCCATAGTTATTTGTTTGAAGTATTTTTTTAAAAAAAATCCAGATCAATAAATAAAATATTGGTTTAAACCACAAAGTGTTGGATTCGTCTGATAAAGCATTCATACATTTCAAAGATAATAATAAAGATACTAAAACTATATATACTATCTTTACATACTTGAAAGACGTTTAGATTTCTCTTTCAAAACAATAGCCTTCCTTACTAAAGCAGCTTGATTTTAAAAGAGAATTAGAAAATATTAACCTGGGAATATGTGATTCTAAGATAGGGTTAAATATTCTATGGAACAAAAATAGTATGGATTTGGGTTTCTGCCCATTTAAAATATATCTGTTTAAATAGTGGAATCCTGAGTATATCTACTTGAATGTAAGATAATTGAGAACAGTGAGATACTTTTTAAGTAAAATGGGATGGCAACCATAATCATTATTATCCCCTTCTTTCTTTATATCAGATAACAACATTGGGCAATCTCACACCATCCAGCACTGTGTTTTTCTGTTGTGATATGCAAGAAAGATTCAGACCTGCTATCAAGTATTTTGGAGATATTATCAGCGTAAGCCAACGATTGGTATGTATATTTGGTTTGTTGAAGGTCAGGTACTATTTTAATTGTACTATTATTAATATTTTATTATTTAAATAAACTTTCATTTTTCTGTTTTTTAAAAATCTTTTCAGCTTCAAGGTGCACGGATTTTAGGAATCCCAATCATTGTAACTGAACAGTATCCTAAAGGTCTTGGAAGCACCGTTCAAGAAATTGACTTAACTGGAGCTAAACTTGTTTTACCCAAAACAAAGTTTTCTATGGTCTTGCCTGAAGTTGAGGCTGCTATAGCAGAAATACCTGGAATCCGCAGCATTGTTTTATTTGGAGTAGAAGTATGTATTTGTAGTTTTCCTAGAGCAGCATTGCTATTGAAACAAAGGTAAAATATCATTTGTAAATATAATAATTGCTGATATGATTTACTTTTATTCTTCTTCAAGACTCATGTATGCATTCAGCAGACAGCACTAGAATTAATTGGCAGAGGTTTGGAAGTTCATATTGTGGCTGATGCAACCTCTTCAAGAAGTATGATGGACAGAATGTTTGCTCTGGAGGTAATTTTATTATATAATTATGTGAGTTTGGCTTCAGTAATGGTTAGATTGTAACAATTATAAGTATTACATTCCTGTAGTTTAAAATATTTCTGTGGCACAGAAAAGGAAATATATTTTTCTATTTCTTAAAAGAGTGTACAGTACATGTATATGACTGTATATTACTTCCCTACCATTGTTAGCATCCATATAGCCTCTATTTTACTGATTTCTTTGTCAGCAGTAGCTAAAAATCAAAAATATAAGGTGGAAAAGAGAATACATTAAAAGAAAACCTGAGGTAGCATAGAAAGATTTAGTTTACTAAATGGCTTACTAAAATAAAAGTTTATGACAAAGATTTCAGCTACCCTTTCTGCTTTGAGAGAGAAATCAATTTCACAAAAGATAAGCAAAATCAATTTTAAATGCATCTTGATTTAGGGACAGGTGAAAAAACATTATATTAATATCAGGCTGACAATGGAGCAAAATCCCTAAGGAAATTGATTCTTAAAGTATTGTAAAAGGAAACAGCATATAGAAATTTGCCAGAACAGGATGATTGGATTAGGTAACACGCTTTTTTCAGTTATTCCTTAAATGATATGACGCACTACTCTATTTCTGATTTTTATATACAGTACAGTAATACATGATGAGCAGAAGAATCCTAGCATTTGAGACACAGAACTCTTGACACTCGTGGGGTCCTCTTATACCAATAAAATAATAGAAGAAATTATTTTAAGCCTCTTAAACTATTTTTCTTTTATTTAATTAGAGAAAATAATGATGGTAGTTAACAAATCTAAAGGTACAGCATTATTTTGGGATATATGCATAGATTTATGTTTTGTGGAAGAAGAATTTATTAAGCTAGTGTATAAGTAATTTTTTTGGTTTGATTTTTGAACCTCGGCAAGAACTGTCTAGCTTGTGCAAAGTCAATAATTGCATCTATATTTTATTTATTTATTAAATTGACATGCTGTCCATTTCTCTACCAAATGACTGGGCAGTATCCAAACAACACTTGTCCCCATTAAATTCAGATTAGTCAAGGTTTTAGGTAATATAAAATGTTTGCTTATTACTTAAGAATTTTTACTACAATGTAATTTGCAGTATCTTCTGAAAGCAAAGAATGATATCTTTTCTATATAGATATTGACTATTATGAAAAGCAGTTCTGTTATTCTGATTTTTTAAATAAAATATTGAATGTATATCCAACATTTCTTGTTACCCCAAAATCCAAGGCAGTTTAGAACAATTATAAAATATCAAAAATAAAACACAATACAATTACTAGAATTAATATTCTGCTAAGATCTTTGAAAGAAACTCCAAGCTCTTCCTGTCTTTTTATTATATGAAAATCATCAAAGCATGTTTCCTTTATGGGACGGATTTCTCAGAATAAAGACACAAAGGTGAATATAACATAAGAGGTATCCCAAGCTTCATTTATTTCATCAAGGTCATAAAGAACTGTCTTTTAACAATTATGTGAGTAATTTATGGTGTTTTAATGTGCAAATCAATGCATCTATTCTACATTTAACTGTTTAAATATATTCATTGTGAAAAGCAAAATGGACAAAGAAATGGGAAAGTGTAGGAATGGTATAACTGAAATATATTACTATCCAGACACCCATACAATTATGTGAAGGAAGAGGAAAAAAATGACAATTGGATAATAAAAACCATGCCTGGAAGCTATTTATCAGTTTATATATAATTGCTATTTATTATCTTTGTATTATTAATCTAAAATGTGATTTCAGTGAAGTGGAACTATTTTCAAAGTTGTTTTTCTGTTTTAAGATAAATTATAATGCACTGTTATTAGGAAATTGTAAAATCTGTGGGTTTATTGTTCAAATATTTTTCAGCAAATAATTGGCTTTATTTGTTTTGTTTTTTTCCAGCGCCTTGCTCGCACTGGGATTATTGTTACCACTAGTGAAGCAGTATTGTTGCAGCTGATAGCTGACAAAGATCATCCCAAATTCAAAGAAATCCAGAACCTCATTAAAGCAAGTGCTCCAGAGTCAGGACTTCTTTCTAAAGTATAAATACTCTTAAAAGAATTCGACAAAGGAAAATGAATACATAAATACACACTATCACATGGAGATGTATAATCTCTCCTACACGCCTATCAATTGATGTATTTTGCCTGCCTTAGCAGAATTTGTTATATTATGCTTTCCAGGTGCTGGTATATTCTATAGTTGTAGCTCTTTGAGTCTTGACGCACCGTAGGGTCATTTTCTGTTCATAATAAAGTTTAAAATAGAGGTACATGTTTGTCAGTATTGTACCCACTGATTGTAATTTAACTCCTCAAAAGGAACCCCCGTATTTTTGTGAAACCTTTTTGACTGAATAAATAAATGTACTGTGGAATTGTATTACTATTTGTATAATTAATGCAGTGACCTAGATAAACGTGTTAATTATGTTTTAACATTCTATGAATGGAACAATATTTTAAATGAAACGGGATACAGAGAAGATGCTTAATCATTAGAGAAGGCAATAATATAAATGCATAATTATTTGTGATATAGCTAGGGTCGTTCTTAATTATTCAGGACTTTATTAAATGCTGTTGCAAAATCATTTATTGAAAGTTTTTAACTAGAAAATTCTAAAATGTTCACTTCCAAATCCCAAGCAATTCTGTCAACTTGTTAATAGGAATATAAGAGAGATTGATGAGACTGAAGTAGGAAATTTTATTTTACTTTTAAATATTCAAAACAAGATGCTCAAGCTTCTCATTTCCAAATGTTGAAATAACTTCTTTCTGGATGTGTTCAGGGATTTATTTTTAATCCCTGAATGTATAGATTTAATGAACTCCATCTGGTTTCTGCATTAATTCTGGTAAATTAAAGATGTAGTAAAACCTGCATCAGTTTTATGCTGCATTTTGAAATACATATGCTGAATACTGTTTAAAAAAAAGCCTGATTTAATAGAGTGTACTGTTTTTGATGTACTGTTTTATAGCTAGAAATAAATTTGAGTAATCCTGTTCTTGTTACAGCTAATTCATTTGTCTTATAAATGATTCAAAGTGTTCTAACATTTATATGAAAAATGCATGTGGCTTTATATGAAATGTATTTTGCAATATTGAAAACAATTATAATGCAGATTTTTAAACAAAAACAGTTCATAGTTGGAAACTTTTGAAACATCTCTTAGCGCCCCAGAGTCTACCACAAATGTTGGCTCTAAAAAGATGCATGTAATATAAAGTTTGTTCTTTGATTTTGCTTATAAAGAACTTGTCTCATCAGTAAATTTCTCTTTATCTTGAAAAATTCAGTCCACTGACCCAGAGATAGCATATAATTTAAAACATACTTTATTTTAAAGAAAACATAAAGCTGTCAAAAATTAAAATGAGCACAACATGGTACTTAGACAAAAGATAAATATTTTGAAGAATCACAAATATTATCAAGCAGAGTAAGGAATAAATGAGCAGCTGTACATAACTTACAAATGTATTCCAATATATTGGACCACGATAAATGGATGTGCAGTCAAAAACTCTTATTGCCTGCCTCAATTCAATCACTGGGATTTTAAGAACCTTATTTACTGTTGAGTGTGCACAGGTGATATCCACAATGTTTTTCCATTTTTTTCTGATGTGAACTTTACAAAACTGCAAGTAGTTTCTCAGTTTCATAATTGATTTACCATGCAACATGAATAGTTTATCATTGAGAAGGAAAAGGTCCTTTCACATAGTTACAGTTACTATATATATAATGAAACTCCTGGTTTCTTCAACAGAGATGTCCAGTGATCATTTCTGATCATCTCTGTTGTCCTAAGGTAAAGGTAAAGGTTCCTCTAGCACATCTGTGCTAGTTGTTTCTGACTCTAGGGGGCAGTGCTCATCTCTGTTTCAAAGCTGAAGAGCCAGTGCTGTTCGAAGACGTTCTCTGGTCATGTGGCTGGCATGACTAAATGCTGAAGGCACATGGAACACTGTTACCTTCCCACCAAACGTGGTTCCTATTTTTCTACTTGCATTTCTACATGCTTTCGAACTGCTAGGTTGGCCGAAGCTGGGACAAATAACGGGAGCTCACTCCATTATGTGGCGCTAGGGATTCGAACTGCTGTCCTTTCTAATTGAGAAGCTCAGCGTCTTGGTCACTGAGCCACTGCGTCTCCCATTTCATGACCTCCTGGTACTTAATAGTTCCATGTGGTATGGAGGCAGGTGACATTTTGTGCTATTTGCATATAAATCATTTAGTTTCCTGTGGAATAAAACCTACCCCTTTTATTAAGACACTCATTTTTCAGAGCTGTGTTCCTTAGGCTAGATAAGGCATAGATTGTTGCTTCAGAAGTATCAACTAGAATCTCCCCTTTACTATCCATTCCACTTCTCCAATGAGAGAGATTGAGAAGATGATTGTTAAGACCAAGTAGATAGTGATAAAATAGATACGTGTTTCTTCCCGTCTAGAAAAAAGTTTTCTTCTGTTGTCACAGTGCTTCTGGAGGAGTCTCTCTGCCCAGAGTTTCTAAGCCTAGTGCTTTAAAGATATTGTGCTCTGTGTTCCCCTTGGAAAATCCCAAAACCCCGAGATTGAGGGCATCTCGCTTCTAATTGTATATTAGAGAGAGGAAGAATAATTTGGATCATTGACTTTGGGGAGGTTAAATGCATAAAGAAAAAAGGAAAGGGAATGTAAAACACTTTGAGAAGGAATGGATTCAATTCGATTCATGTAGTTCCTGGAGAAGATGCTAGCCTTGCAGCTCTAAACATGAAGACTCATCCTCGTGTTTCCCTAATTCTAGCACAAACACGACAAAAGTAACCATTTTTATACGATAGGTCATGGCATTGTCGACCAAGGAGCTGGGTCTGACCAGCTCCTATTGGTCATTTTAGGCTATTGTTCCATCCTCTCAGGTTGTTGGCTACTTCCCTCCATGACTGCTTTGTTTGGACTGCAGGAGAGGGACATGGAATGAAATCACGTTTCCAAGTTTAGTCCCTGGTGCAATAAATAAAGGTATACAGAGGGAGAGAAAAAAAAATAACATGAATTTTGAAATTTGCACTAGCTAGTAAACATTTGCATCTGTTCTAGGATGAGCAGTGTTTGTGGGAGCCAATGCAATTCCACACCCAAGTTATTGTGTTTTTATTCGGGTAAGCAAGCTGCAGTTTCTGGCAATCCATCTGTCCAAAGCAAGGCAAAATAAACCTAACTGGATTTTAAAGTCCCGTGATTTTGATACAGAAATACATAGGGCCTGCTGGAATCTGCAGCTTTTACAGGTAAACTCACTGAGGCTAAAAAGAAGACAGTGCATTTCCAAGCAGATGGAACAAGGTGGATGTTTCGCTGTTAGGCTTTGATCTCTATCCTTTGCATTCTAGGAAAACAAAATGCAGGTGATAGAACCCCCACAATCATCAACAAGGGAACTTGTGGCCTAAGGGCGAAGAGGAAGGCTTGAATTTAGAACTGATAGTTTACCAGCATCTGGCCTGCTCCAGTCTATGGGATAATGTACATCACTTTAGACCATCACTTCAAATGTGCTTAGGAAAAATAGATTGGCTTTATCTGAAAATTACTTTTCTTCAAGATAAGTGTTAGGAAGTGAGTCTCATGTACAAATTATAATTTCTAGAGAAATGTTTTGCCTTGACCTCTTTTGAGACATTGAGAGCACATTTTGGTGCTGTGTGTGTGTGTGAGAGAGAGAATTACATAAAGCTGTAGAATTTTCTGAAGAATCTTGTTTATCATAATATTCTCTATGCATTGCAGTAAAAAAAAAATTGGTTTCCTCCACAGGCAGGCAATGGCTATCGGTATAGAATATATCAGTATAGAACATATCAAAAGTTCTGTTACAGAGCTTTTGTTATTGTTGTTATTTTGCAAATTGGGAATATTTCATTTGCATTCATGAGACTTCTTAAATCATAGGAGACTGTTAATATATATTTCACTTAGAATCTTAGATCACTTCCACAACCAGACAATGTGTTTCAGCAAACTTTTTACTGAAATTCATCTGGCGATATTCCAGCCTCCATATGCAAGCACCTGTTGAGAAGACTTTGTGGTTAAAAAATGTAGCTAAACGGTACTTTGTGCTATAAAGCTTGCACATGACTGGGCCAGGGGAACATGAGGTCACTTTTTAATGTAATAATCAAACCACATGAAAGATGTGTTCTCAGTCATATGCAAGACTAAATTTTACAGTCTGACTAAAAGATTTTTTATGAACTCTCAGGAACATCTCATGCACTGAGAGTCAATACAGATGAGAAGAGCAGAGATCAAACAAATATTTCTTGTTTCGTTAAAATACCTCAAGTTAAAAAGGGATGGCGATAGTCAAACTAAGTAAAGTGTTGTTGTAAATAGAATTCACAAAAATATATCAAGATTTTGCAAAATGTGCACCTTTCCACTGGAATATAGAGAAAATGCATATTAGACTATTATCCAGGGGAGAGAAAGGGGGGTGGAAACGTCCTAAAAAGCTGAAATTATAAAAATCATCTGTAGGTTTTTTGACAATGGATCACCTTCTGTACTTCTATCTTGATAGATAGCATTAGTGTAATATGTAGGTTCGAACAACGAAAAACAATTGATCTTTGCTGGTATTTAGGACCCTGCATTCTGTTTCCTTTTGTAATGTAGTACTAGTAATACTGTATCAACTGCTATTATATTTCAGTTTATATATCAATGACAGATAATTACATAGAACCAGTTTTTAAGTACAATGACTCAAGAAGTAGGCAATGCAAATTACACAAACTTGCAAGGTTGCAATAAAAAAGAGGAATATAATGAAATGAGAAAGGACACAAAAAGAAAAGAAATAAAAATTGGCTGGAAATGATTTCATAAAAATTAGCGAGTTTTCATTTACATTCAGGCACATGATGAGAATTGGATGTAAAAGTGTCTACAATCTAAGATCAATGCCTCAGACCAGGGGTTGTCAACCATAAACACTCAAAGAGGCACAAAGGTCCCAACTGAAAGCCCCCCGGTTAATTCTGGTGCCAACCGGAAGTTTGGTTCCTCCACCATAGAGTCTCCTCCTAGCACAGCGTCCTTTTTTCTCTACCTTTCCTAACCAAAAGCCCTATCAATTTTGGAGCTGACCGGAAAAGCCGCCCCTTACATGAGAGTGTTCTCCTGGTGCACCATGCTTCCCCACCCCAACCGGAAACTGCTCCCAAAATTGTGGCACCGACTGGCGACAGGGAGCCGCAGCAGAAAGATGAAAGAGCCACATACTGCTTCAGAGCTGCTGTTTGCTGACCCCTGTCTTAGACTAATAAGTATCTGTCTGGTATTAAATATGAACCTCGCATTGATTACTCCAGGGACAAGGTTGTTGATCTCAGATCCCGGTTACCCTGTGCCTGGTGCCATGCTCTAAAGTGGCAGGATGAGAATCCCGGGATGTGCTGCAGTAGTGATAAAATCCACCTCCCTCTCCTTCAGCCCTCCCCTGAACCCTTACATAGCCTTCTTACCCACCAGTATCCAATGGCAAAGCACTTTCTTTCTGCTGTCCAAATGACATCTTTTGGAGCCAGAGAGGTGAAGGAGGGAAATTTATGCCAACATTCAAAGTGCAGGGGCAGGTCTACCACAGGATAGGGAATATCATGGCGGAGCCTCAGTAGCAGCCTTCATTTCTCTAGATAGACTTTGTTGGTGATGATGACAACGAGTGGGACATCACTGTGGAATCTACCCAGGCATTAATCCACAACTGATTAGCCAACTGCAGAAGGTTAAGGCTGCTGTTGATTCTGTTCCTAAGGGCCACAAGAACTTCCAAGTGGTGATTAACGCTGATAGGAAGCCTTCTGGAGAGCACTAATGTTTCAATGCCCCCACGACTACAGAAGTGGCTGTTCTCATTGTCAGCCAGGATTTTGAGAAGAGAGCTATCGTTCTCTACAGCAGAGACAACAGATTGTTATGAATCAGTGAGATGCAT